AAAAAAACATATAAAAACAAATATGTAGCGACCTGCAGAAATTGAATGTGTGAAATTGAGATGTTTTCAAAATATCTTTTGTATTTTTCGTAAAAGCAACCACTGTAAAGTAAAAAATATCGTTTTCTCTCTACATACATTGTTGTTGAAGCATAGATTTACCGTACAGTTTTTTGCTATGTGTATGTGCAGCTGTGTTTTATGTTTGTAAATATGTATGTTTTCATAAACTGAAAACATGTTTTTTATTTTTTATTTTTTATTATGAATTTATTCAGTTTTGCATAGTTTTTTGATTTATGATTAAGTATGCACTTTATAACGGTTATATGTTGCAGAGTTGAATTTTTACTGGTTTGCTTCACTATTATTGTAATTTTAACCAATTGCATTTTAAAATTTATTATTTAACATAAATAAAAATAGTAATTACATATACATATTTATGTTAAAGAAAAAAAAACTATACAAATACTTAAACACATGCAATAATGTATGTATGTATGTATGTATGTAACTTAAAGTTTATTAATCACATGCAAAGTTAAATAAATTACACATTGTAGGAGTCTAAGGGCCAGTTTTTCAATGCCAGTTCAAACTTAGATTAACTAAATACAACCGTGCACTAGAAAACTGGCCCTAAGGCAGATGTACATAAAGTCAAACGTATAAACTTGGCGCGTACAACATATATACGTACATATGTAATTTACGGATGTACATAAGGGCGGGTCAATTTATATGGGAAATTTTTTCGACTCAGCGGGTAAGTTATTCCAAGAGAATTTTCCGATGAAATCAATTTCGAACTTGCCAAATTCCAAAAATTCGTTCTTTTTCCTTTGAAATGATTTTTAAGTAAAGGTTAATTCAAACATTTTATGAAACTACAGCAAAAAAAAAATGATTTTAGACCAATGGATTCTTCGGCAAATTTGCTTAGAACTTCAGGTAGGATACTCCTATGCCATACCCGTATAGTAAAAAAAGTGCTCACCCTAATGCACATATAAAAATTCCACTAAAAATAAACTGCAGCTGAGTAGCATTGCACAGTTGGTTTTGTGCTTTCTTTTTTTTGTAAAATATGCTTATACATTCATCTCCTCTATTTTCAATTTTCTTCAATTCAAATTTCCTGCGCGCTACTGTACTTTTGTCATGTGTACATATGCATGTATGTATGTATTTATGCACCAAAGTTCATTTATGTCGTTTTGCCACATAAACTCCACACGTTTTTTTTTTATGCTATGCGCGTTCACATTTTCATATACCTACAGTTGCAAATACATATGTATGCATTTGTATGTTTGTAAATAAGTATATAAAATAAGTATGTATGTATATCTCTATTCGCATAATTAACTTTGATAAACGCACTTTACAATTAAATCAGTTTTTAAAACTATTATTCACGCATATTTTTGTGCAATTGCATATATGTATGTATGTATGTATGTATGTATGTGTGTGCGTAAACAAAAAATAGGCCATTTGCAAATTAGAGTAGCTACAAATTAATAATAAGCCGTTAGTATTAGACCAAAATAATGCTTATAACTAAATACATTTTTTTTCACACACACAAAGTTTGTCATTTAAATCATAAAGAAAACAAAAAGAAAAACCTACGAATAATGAAAATAATAAAAAAACGCTTAATTTATTTATAGAATTTTATTACAATTTCTAATTACTAATTGTTAATTTGCTACTAACTAAATTAGTGTGTGTTTCGCTACAATCATCAATGTTATTTATTTATATAATTATTTTTGTGTTCGCATTTATTATATGTAATTGTTTTTGCATTTAATTTATTGTACAAGTAAATATATTAATAGTTTTGAATTACATTTAATATTTAATATTCCGTTTGTATGTATGTATGTACGTAATGTATGTAACTACGCAGTGATTTTGTCACTAACCTAACAATTAGAGGGCTGCCCTTAGTACAGTGTGTTTAACTACGCTAATTACGTTCATAATTTATTTGCAAAACATTCACATACATACCGACATATCTGTTAGTATGTATGTATGTATGTGCATATGTATGTTGTTTAATACATCCACACGTTTTTAATGCAAACAACTTTGCTAGGCTTAAGTTAGTTTTACATACCATGTATGTATGTATGCATGTCCGTTTTTTTTACCTTTGCATTGCGCATATTTCAAATTTTATGTTTTGTGTATTACATACTTTTAAAAGCTTATTCCCCATTTTTGTATGCTCACGTGCAAACTTTTTGTTTGAGCTACAAAAATTTCCATAAATCACTGATTTGGCCGAGTAACTCTCTGATTGTGGAGATATGATTCTACTATTTAAAAAAAAAAAACAGCTTGTTTTTTGCGTCGCAACGCCGCAAGTGTATTGAATTTTCTTCTGCAATCCATTGTTTACGCGCAATAAAGTAGTTTTCCAAAATTTTTTAATTTTGTGTTTGGTTTCTGCAGTAAAAAAGAATGTGCTTTTTATTCGCACCTCTAAAGTACGCAACGATTTGAACTACAAACAAATTTCAACTACATATTTTCGTGCGTAATTTTCTTTTAAAGCCATTTTGATGTGAGTTTTATTTGTTGTTGGCATTTTTTTTTTTGCGCTTAATGTACTTCTTTCTACATTTAAATATCTAAATAGTATGTACACCACACAAAAGGAACAATTTATTTATTTTGAACACTGATTGTGAGTGAGCCTGTTTCAAATTTTCATTAGCAGCTTAGAGACTAAATATGTGTACAACATTTAAAGTTCTACTGTGCGTATGTATGTATGTATGTATGTAAGTTTGTATGGATTCTGTTGACACTTAAACGCTTCAAAAGACGCAAGTTCTATACTCCACTTTACACCTCGATCACACTTACTGTATATAGGAAAAAGTCAAATGTAACTAAGTTTTTGTGCTTTTCGTATACGAATTTTTAAATACTTTTTTCACGTGCTCGCTTTTTGGATGAGAAGTGCACATTATGTTTTAATATTAATTCCATGGGCATTAGTAAGCCTCAATTTTCGCAAAGATCGCTGGCGATCTCGCTTGGCAGAAGTGATAGGCAAACATTCAAATAATGACATAGAAGATGGTGTGCTTTGAGCATTTTTCCGGAATAATAACAACGAAAGCAAAACTTCTGGACAGTCTTGTACAGTACAAACGAGCGTTTTCTAGCGGATGTCGTAAAAGCCTATAAATTCCTTGAACTTTTCCGAAACTTTAACAGTGTGTTTCCACTATCCTCAAATTACGCAATTTCGATTCTGAACGAATATTTTTTTGCTTTTGTTCTAAACTACATATTTCTTTTGTTCTGTTTATCTGTCATAAATTCTACTTTCAATTTTACACATCTAAAGATACGTATCGCGATTGCAGTGGAAATTGGGTAAATGTAGTGCCCGAGTTGCGTAATTTGGCGTGTGTGAAAACACTTCATAACATTTTCAGCTGTCTCTCAGTATATTTTTATGCTTTCTAGGACAATACAAAAATTTATTTGTGGTTAATATTGAATTGCAAATTTGTATGTATGCGCATGTACATATGTTTGCGCAAGTTTGTGTGTAAATACATAGCTTTGTATAGGTGGATTAAGAAACATTAAATTATTTATGAATATGTATTTAAATTAGCAACTGTTTGAAGCACTTTATTCTATGGCACATTTAAGTTCATACTTTTTCTTATATTTGCAGTATGTATGTATGTGGATATTTATGCATTCTATGTTCTGTTTATAAAAGTTCGCTAAGTTTGTAGTTACATACATAAGTATGTAAGCATAAATTTTCGTATATAAAAAGTGAAACGTTTTATTTGAGTGTGTCTATTTTATGGTTGCGCATTTAGTTTAAAAAAAAAGTAGTACCACGGAAAGTATGCCAAAGGCCGTTAAAGCATTCGAAACATTGATAAAATTATAGCTTTTCTACTTAGTCAATTTTCCAAGTGGAGTGAACTATTTTCAGTTAGTCAAAAAGAAAATTTTTGATCAAAAATTTGAATTAAAAAAAAATTACTTAAAAACGAATAGTAAAAGCATACAAATTTTCAAAGGCTTAACATTTTTTGATGTACTTCACATAATTTAAGTCGAATCGTTTTTTTTTTAAATCGAAGAAGTACAACTTTGTCATTTTGCTCACATAATTTGCATGAACGTTCACGTACACGTATTACATTAGCGACACACATACGTATATGAATATTAGCAGATGCATCCTGCAGGATCCAAATTTTTTCTCTTTCATGATAAATTCTTGGGAAACTATTTTATACAAGAAAACATAAACATTGCCCCTTTGAAATATTTTGCAAATTTAAATTTGTTCAAACTACTTATTGCGGCTATATTTACTAAGGTAGCTACAAAATTCATAATCAATTACATTATCTATCCAAATTAATTTATTTCCTTTTCAAAAACAGCGCTCACTTCCTGTGTATTTTCACTTGTTTTGGCCTCTTTAAGGGGTTTTTTAGTAGCTACTCTGGCTACGCATATCAATAACTTCAGTTTTTTTCACATATAAAACAATTCATTCCTGGGCTTGAGTTTATTAGCGAGTGCGTGCTTGTGCGCCTAAAATTATGCCTCCCACACTTTGTTTCTGAGTGGTAAATCAGTTCTCAACCGATTTAATTCATGCAATGCCTTGCATTCTCCATTTCTCTCTCTCTCTCTCTCTTTCTCTATTAGCTCTATACATAAACATACATATAACATATTTATTGTTTTACATAAATGTCTGTATATATTTATATGTAAGTTTGTATATCCTACGTAGCGTATGTTCGCAATAAATCTGTACGCACCTATACTAGTATACAATATTGTTAAACAGAGTTGCACTCTCCACATTCAATTTTTATGTACTCGCTTGCATATCAACATACATATTTACATGCAAGTATGTATGTATACATACATATAGCGCGTATATCTAAACTAAATTGTTAATTAAATTTTTTAGTTTTTTGTGTGTTTCCTTTGTCCGGCGTCGTCGTTCATACATACATATACATATATATAAATTAATTATACATAGTATTCCTAAAGTGAAACAAATTTAGTTTGTTTGCATTCCCCATCATCCACATTTATTGCTGGCGAGCTGCGCTGTGTGCGTTGCGTTGCGTTGCATTGTTGGCGTTTAGCTTCTGCTTCGCAAAAGGGCTGTGAATGTGACTAGTACTGCGGCGCCGGCCAGCAGCGAGCTCAGGCGGCTGGGACACGCGGCGGTGAGCGCCGTCGCCGCGGATTCTTGACGTGGCTCGATTTCATTGTTGGTGTTCTCGGTTGGACCCAACGGATCGAATGGCGATGAGGTGGCACCTGTAAAGCGAATTGAAAAGTATGAAATAATTGAAAATGCTTTTTAGATTTGTATATGTATGTATGGTATGTATGTTTGTGTCCTACCATCGCCAGATCCATCGCCTGAGCCATTCTGGTTGCCGTATTCCTCGTCATCCATGTCGTCGGGCATGTGGCCGCCGGAGCCCTCCTCATCGTGGCGCGCCATATCGCTCTGTATGTCAGAGTATGAACGCGTGGTGGATGGTATCTAAGTGGGATAATAACGACGATTATGAATACGTATGTATTATTTTTCGCATTTTTGGCGCGCGCTCGACTTACCGCCGTTCCGATGTTCTTGCGCACCTTGATCAACTTGTCCACCAGTTCATTCAATTTCGTCGATTGCGAGCTTGGCACCAGCGGCACCTCGGGATTGTACCGTTGTGTGTCTACACCTTGGGTCATCACTAGTTGGGTGTAGTCGCCAACACGATCGCCTGTCCAACAGTTGTGATCATTTCGTTGGATGTCATCGTCTTCGCACACACTGTGCAAGCATAACAAAGTGGAAAATAGAGAATAGAAGAAAAAAAAAAATGAATGAAAGATTTGATTGTCATCTATTTCATTTAATTTTCTATTATTTAAATCTAGAAAATATCGATTTTAATTGTTGTGTCGTCGAAATTCTGTAAGAATAACAAAATCCTAAAGCCCAAATGTTAACATCTTTTGTTCGTGGCACCCGCGACAGCATACATGCCGTCTTTCGGCCCAAACCAGCGCCGCCCATGAAAGTGGTAAGTTTTTAAATATGTATGTATATGTACATACGACTCCTATATGTATGTAATTCAAAACTATGATCTTTTTAAAAAATCTGCATTTCAATCCTTTCCCTGATTTCACCAATCAACCATCATCGCATCATCGGTCGTTCGTTGGTTCGATGCCCTGCTTTAGTCATGCATGTCCATGTCCAACAAGGAGATGATCTGTGACGTTATATTTTTCAGCGCAGCTATTTTAGCGCCTCTCTACTATACTGTGTTGCGCGATCTTCTGCGCAAGATTCGGAATGTAAATTACAAAATAGTACGTGTAAAAAATTAACGGTAATAAAAGTATTACAGTAATGTTTTAGTACAAAAACTTAAGATCTCTGTGTTTCATTTATTAGCCGACTTCAAAAAAAAGGAGAAGGTTATCAGTTCGTCGGAATATATATCTACATATTTTTTTTTATGTATGTTACCGCGTTACTTTGAACCACGTTAACCGATTACGATAATTCTTCTATCGTGTCTCACAGGTCGTTCCATACTAATTTGGTTGAGATCCGATCTTTGGATCATGAAAAAATTAACGGTACTCTTAAATTTGTATATAAGAATTGTAGTCCGTTGTGTTTTTTTGCTTAAAAACTACTTGTTATACAATTGTCTACAATTCTTGTGCAAGTACTCACTTGTTAACGATGTTCGAGTAGAATTCCTTGGATTTGTCTATGGTTGATTGGAAGTGCAGAATTTCCGCATCCGGTGGGGTTGCCCATTTAATGTTGTGTGGCTGCAGAGGGCGTAGATCATTGTCCGCTGTTAGTGAGGGCAAAAGTTTTGGCGTGCCGCATGTTTTCTTAACCTGCGAGATGAAAAGAAAAAAAAAAATTTAAATAATTGGAATAGTGACTAAGGTTAGTTTCGAGAACTATTTAAAAATTTACTTTATATAAGGCTCCCAAATAAGATCCCTAGTCTCCGCTGGAGCTAAACTCGGTGTAGATTGTTCGATTCAAGAGGAAATGCATTTATCGAACTTTGACCCTAGTGGCCTTCAGACTAGAGATGGGCGCGGGACTAAATATTCAACACCGATCACACCTATCCCGATATGAAATTTTTCGGTCCCGAAGACAAAGTTTTTTAGATTTGTACGGCGGGTCCCCTGGGCCCCAACAACAATCACTAAAAAAATGCACACGTCTTTCTCTTTCTCGAATATTCCGCTTTCGTCATTCTGAAATATCTGCCGTTCATTTTTGTCTCGGTATAATTTTAAAAGGTGCTAGTTTCATATAGCGTTTTATCAGGGGCCTATTTCATAAAAGTGACAGGTGCGACAATGGTCGATTTTTTTTATAAAATTTCACTGCCAGAATTGTTGGCGACATTTTTCATGTTTCATATACGTTTGTAGGCAACTGTGAAAATTTTTGGAAAACGACAGTGATAATATGGAATATTGTTGACAATTGTGCTGACAATTGTCACTCTAACAAAATTGTCGTGACAATGGCGACAAAACCAAAACCAAATATGGTAATTGCGCGCATTCCATTACTTTTCAATAATTTGAATGTTTCTTAAAACTAAAATAATGCAAATGCAATTGTTACATATGATTTACATATAAATTTCATATGACTGGCGACAATTTTGTCAACGACAATTTTAAAACCCGTAAATGACAATTTGTCCCATTTTCAATGGAATTTCTCATGGAATTTAAGAGGTGGTGACAATTGTTTTTATGAAACAAAACACCCACACCACCAAACTGTCGAATTGTCACGGACAACGTGGAAATGCCTGTCGTTACAAAATTATCATTGTCGCTTTATGAAATGGGCTCCAGGAGTGTCGATACCGTCCATCCCGGCCATTTTAAAATTAGTACGTTTACGGTCTGGTTGGTTTAGCTCAGTGGGACCAACCAAAAAACAAGGACGTGCGTACTTTTTTCTTAATTGATATGATTATCGACATAATAAACTTTACGCTTTTTCAAGCGGATAACCTTTCCTTGTGGGGTTGCCCCAAACATATGGTACTATATCTCAAAGACCGAAAAATTTCAACTAAAGACAATAAAGTAAAAATGTGAGAGCTTCCACATCCGAATGCCGGTTTTCCACGCTTAGTTTGAGAAATTTTCAACGCAGTTAAAGAAGAACAATGTTCAAAAGTTATTAACTTGGAGGCTCCACAGACGTTTCGTATGTATGTCACACACGCAGGCATTTTTTTGAGTACACAGTTGCCACATCTAATGGTATCTTTGTAATGAAAATGTCCAAGTTGCAGCATGGTCATGCCACACACAGCCAATTAAAATCTAATAAACATGAATACATGCAGTGGTGGCATTGTGGCATTCGGACGCAGTCAACAGATCACGGACGACTAACTGTTCGCATCGAAGTATCCCACAGTTTTTCGATGGCTCATTGATGCATGCATAAGCAGATATGTATTTATGTAGGTACACTCGTGCGACATATGTACATACATGCACATACGGTCATTGTTAAGCGTCCATATATGTATGTACATATATCAATGGACAACACCACCATCACTATCGAGTGGAAAATATTTGAAAATTCTGGCTTTGAGGGCTGGTGCGGTTATGCAGTCGCAGTGATTGCTGTTGTTTGGTGTAATTTACGAAAATGTAAACATTGGCCAGGTAATAACGATTTGTGGTGCATAATAATGAATGGGCACCTAAGCTTTTGTTTGTTGGGATGTATGTATGTATGTACGTACGTGGAGTTGTGTGTATATACCCAGTACGGAAAGGAAATTGTTTAAATATTGATGCTCCACCAGTTTTTTACCCACCACAACTAATTGAAGATCTGACTTTCTTCCTTGGAACGAACTGTTTACTTTGACATGGCGAAGTCCTAGAAAGTAGTCAATTATGCGACTCTGCATTTGAGTTCAACTGCTGTAAAATGCATTTGGCTTAAAACACTTCAAAGTCAGTATGTTTCTTTTGCAGATGTCTTTTCAACCAATTTAAAATTACTTAGTATTAAATACTGAAATAGTTAATTGCCCAAAGTTAGATGATTTTTCAATTAATTTTGAATTATGTATTTGCAAAGTTATCAAAAGTGTAAGGACAGAGTGAATAATGGACTAGTCTACGAATCCAACGGGCAAAACGCATCTACCAGATTTTATAGAACTTTTAAGTCAGCTACGGTAAAATACAATATTCAGACGGAGACGGAACAATACGAATCTATAGGGGAAATATATATTTTCGATTCGTTTGCATTCAGTAGACATCTAACGGGTTTTGCAATAAGGGCGGTGAGATATTGAAATGTAATGGAATTTAAAGAAGCTGTGTGCGAGGTATCAACGAAAGTCTTTTTGTATTTGAAAGGCATGCGAATGCCATTATGTATGGAACCCAAGTTCGCTTAAATTTCTGTCACGGCTTCTTAAGGTAGTGGATTATGATCGCTTTAAGCCCGTTTATTAGCATAGAGATGCGACTTTAGGAAATGCCATTTGGTGCCATGGTGATTTGGCATTAGTGAGTACAAAATAAATGGTAGGTTAGACAGACACCATGAAAACGGACATCGCCGTGAGAGGTCGCCAAAATCGCCAACCGTGGCCACGATGCAGGGACATAAAGAAGGCGCCTTCCGCGGACAGCATCCACCCTTTCGCTGACGTCACATTGTTATTTTTGCGCACTAGCGATGAATATTAAATTTTCATATTGTAACTATTTGTCGAAAAGTTGTACCTAAAAGTAGAAAAACGGTGCCTAAAAAGTAAACATGTATTTTTATGTGCATACATTTTTGATAGTTGGTTGACTACATCTTCCTTCTGTACCATATAAACTTTAGGATTTACATAAATCAATATTGTACCTAAAATAATAGCTTTTATTTAACTTCGGGGTATTCTGAATTATAGAGAAATTTTACACGCTTCGATTCTTTTATGAAATTTCTGAAGAAAATCGGTAAAGAAATCAAAATAATGCCGCTATGTGAACAATTTCTTGCAGATTTTTTTCAGAATTTTCTTTATTTTTCGTACGGAAATTTCTTTACGAGTTCGTGACAACCACTTCATATAGTTTTCTTCGTAAAAAATCGTTACGAAAATGAGATACTCCTAAATATTTCGTCAAGATTTCGGGAACTTTGGTTTGCAGGGTAATAACAAAACAAATCAAAAACTCTTTATTTTTTGCACTTCGCGGCACCTTCTTAAATTATTGGTAATGTGAATGAAAGAATTTTCAAATGAAAACTTTACGATATGAAGAATAGTAAAGAATAGACAAACAAATACAAATTCTGCCTGAAAAAGTATTTAGAACAAAAAAACAAAATACTATTGTTAAATGGATTTGCATTTTAAATACTTTAAATCTCTGAAAGTAAGTGCCAACCACCACACTTCAATCTTTGCGATTTGAAGCTGAGAAAATCAACACATCCACAAAAAATGCGAGGAAAAGGATGAAAGAAATGGTATTTAGTGTACACATTCAGAGCTACCAGATAAATTCCTGTCCATAATCCAGAATATCTTGACATGAGGAAGACCATCAAATACATACTACACAAAGAGCATAAAAGAAATTCGTAAAAAATGTTACAGTTTTGCATTCCGCAATAGAACTGTGTAATCGTCGCTTTCTATAGATAACTGCCTCTGTACTTACGTATGTATGTACATATGTATGTTTGTAAATATGTAGTGCACACGTCGGCCATTATGCATACATATTTCTGAATGTGGATTTATTCTGCATTTCGCAAATACAATCATCAAAGCATATTTACTAAGTAAAACTATTTTATTAAGTATTCTCAAGTAAATGCAAACACTACCTACTTCATCCCATCAGCACTTATGGATTGTATGTACATACATGTGCCATACCAAAGTACTCAAGTTTATGATTAAGAGCACACTTTCCGGCATTACAACGATGGCGCACAATGAAAATTATAAATTTAATTCAAACTTGACATTCAGACAATGAAAAACAAACAAAATAAAAAATGAAAACAACATCAACAACAATACAATCTATCTACTCAACACGTAAAGTGTACTTAAATGCTTATAAGCACAGGAAGCGGCGATGTGGCTCGCTGCTCATGCAACTTACGAGTTTATAAATTGAATGCATTTTCAGTGCAACGTGCCACAAGCTTTAGGCTGTCTGCAATGCTGCATAGTTATAGTAGTTATGCCGATTGTATATGTATGTGTGCTACTGTCGCACTGAATATAATCTCGATTTTATTTAACGAATTCGCATTGTTTTTATAGACATATACCGATATCCCTACAATGCAGATGCGTTGTTTGAAAGCTTAATATGAAGGTGGACTTTATTTACACATTTTCCAATGTACTTGAACTTATTCGATGATAGTAGCATTCGTTGTGTGCTTAAGAATTTAAAACCATCGACGATATATTAAACTGGCTGAGAGTAGTGTGCAAAGCAGTACTGCTATATTCGTTCGTGTTCCATGGTCGGGCAAAGTTATACTCAAATATCTTTAAATATAAATATCCCGCCTCTTTCTACCTCCGAATAGCGTCAAAAAGGCATTAAAGATTTGTTGGCTGACAAAAAAAATTACGACCATTTAAGCACACCCTAATGCACATATGAGCATTGGTGCATTTGCATTGAAAAACAAAGCGACAACTGAAAAAACTGACGCCCATTTAAAACTCATCATTCCACAGGCCCACCCACTGCTACCCATTTTAATAAAAATACAACTGAGTCATATTTTTTTTTTGTAAACCAAACTGTTAAACATGCAAACAGTTTAATCGTTTGAAGAAAAGTGCACAGTTAGGTGCAATTATTTTCAATTACCTACAACAGAACATCATACGGGTAAGCTTCCTCTCACCTTACTCTCGCCTCTGCCACTCTCCTGCGGCAGCAACCTATGCGCGTCAACAGCTTTGTTCGGCATCGAAAAGTAGTGGCACCACGTTGGCGGATTAGTTCACATTTTTGCATACATTTTGTAGTGTTTTACTTGCAACATTCGCACCCAACCCGAATTGCTAGAGGTCAAATAAATGTGCACTAATCAATCATCGTCGAGGCGCTTTCATAATTTATCAAAGTGGCAATAAAATCGCAAGCAGCAGGCGCTTCAGCAGAGGAGGCTAACGAAAAAATATGTAGTATGTGAACATTCTTATGCACACCAAAAATCTTTGCTACCCCGCTTCTGAGCAGCTTAATTTATTTCCTTGTCTGCGGTGAAAACTAAAACAATTAGAATGATTTTTATCATAAGTAGAGCAGCGGCACATAAAAGGGAATGTGGCGAAGAGCGCGGGGCAACAATTTGTTTTCTCGTTTTCTTTTTTTTTTTTAGTTAAATAATAAAAGATTGATTAGAAGATAGATGCCCATGAGTCTGTTATGGAGCCGCTTGAGCTTTAAATCAGCGATGGGCAGAGAGAGCTTTTACTCAGAACGCGCCTATACAAAATGTATAAAAAGCTTAAAAGAGCTTTTCCCGCGGGCAAGGCATCGCCCATAACCGCTTTAAATAAATAATAAGGAATACGCAATTTTTTCTCACTTCAAAAACGATTTCTCGTAAGTACGGGAAAGATAGAACTTTCCATAATCGTTTAAAAATATCACTCGTTTGCTGAAAGAACGTCATAATCCAAAGAACAATGGTTTACAATCAGTATGCAGCAATTACCGTCAACCATTTTTTTTTTTATATAACGATATCTGTTAATTGTGTCCCATTAGAAAATAATATTTTTTTTTTACTCTTTTTTGTACTTTGCTTAGCAGCCGTAACTAGGAAACAATTACTCTTTGGTAAAAGCGTGGATCAAAATTATGGCTTGATGACTGCTTTGGCCTCTGAGTTAAATTTTACGATTACATTTTTTGTGGTTTTTAACCTACTTTAAGTCCCCTCTGTGATAGTGGCCTTTAAGAGGAAAAACCAGACAAAACTTTTTTTTTAAATTTTTTTGATTTTTCGAGTTGTGGCCTTCTTACAGTAAACAAACGATATGTATTTATTAGATACAATGATCTTCAGAAAGTTTGTAAATTTGCATTTCCATAAAATACAAAACTGCATAAATATGTACATATGTATATACAGTGACTCAAACAAATGACTACGTGCTAATTTTATTTAAATATTCGCAATGTTTTTTGAGCTAATTTTTTGTTTGTTAATTTTTCTATAAATATATATCCAAAATTTAGGAAAACTCAACAAATTTAGATCAAAATTTAAATTTTTTAATCTGAATCTTTAGAACATTTTTGGGTATGCAATTTTATAGCCCATACAATTTTAGTCTAATGAAGTGCAAGTTTTAAACGGCTAAAAAATCTCGTTGATTTTTCAGAATTTTTTTTTTTGAGACTACTTTTTCGGTTATATAACAAATGCACTTTACAAAAACTGACGTTGATTTTTTGAAATTTTTTTGCTAACGGTCTCTCACGTTTTATTTCATAAGAATTGCATGCTTATATGGAAAAAAGTTCAAAAATCTGTCACCAAAAAAGATGTTTCAAAAATCAACGGGATTTTTTAGCCGCTTGAAACTTGCCCTTCATTAAACAAAAATTATTTGGGCTATAAAGCTGCATACCCGCAAATGTTCTAAAGATTCAGATTAAAAAGTTTAAATTTTGATGAAAATTGGTTGAATTCCCCTAAATTTTGTATAAAGTTTGAAACGTTTAGACGGTACTTTTATAGAAAAATGACTAAAAAAAATTAAGCTCGAAAAACATTGCGAATATTTAAAAAAAAAATCGACACGTGATCATTTGTTTGAGTCACTGTATGTATTTAGAATGCAAGGCCAGCTTCCGTATGGGCTCAAATAATTAAATAGATCTCATTTACATTTACAAGTATTTAGTATTCCAACAGTGTTCATTCTCTCCATTCGATTCCTCTGTAGCCGTTAATGCCTTTCGATTTTTAAGGGAAAAATACTTGCACCGAAAAATCTACAATCGAAAGGCAGAGATAAAAGCTGGAACATTTGCTCCACTTCGATCCTTGCAATTTGGCAAGGGTAAGGCAAAAATTTGCAAAGAAAAAATCAAAAAACAAAATTAAATGGGGGCGAGTTTTTTCCGCCATTACCTTTACTTTCAACTGCATTGGGAAATAAAAATATTGGCAAAGCTGGCAATTTAATTAAAGCAAGAACCGGCGACAATTCGATGACCTACCGGTGCAGCCTTCGAAGGTAGGCAAAGCATCAATCAATGGCGGATTAGGGTGACACAACAATTCTGCTGAAAATAAAAGCTTTTTTCTTGATTTTTTTTTTTGACGAAAAATTATCTATATAAAAAACCGTAAACGCTTATTTTGACTGCTTTAACATTTGCTAAACAATTTACTATTAAAATTGCCATAAAAGCTGCTATAAAGTTTCCTTTAAAAATGCTAAACAAATTTCCTGTTAAGTAAAGCAATTTTTAAACAAAAATTACTTATTAAAAAAAACAACAAAGTATTTTGAACGTTTTAAAATAGGCTATAAAATTCACTTTTTAAGTTGCCTTAAAATTTTCTACAAAAGTTGGCATAATAGTCGCTAAAAAGTTTGTATAAAAATACCAAAACATCCCCTGCAAAGTAGAGATATTCAGTGCTTAGTATTTAAGCAGGAAAAGCATTTATAGTTGTAGGCGAAAATAACTTTGATTAATATTGGCCCACTCTAATGTTGAGCCCTCAAACTTTGTGACAATGTATTCACACACGTATTCAAGTACAAAATATCAAAAGGCGCTCAACGTGGGAACAAGGAGGAATCGTAGTAATTAAAATGTAGCAGTAAATATTTTATTCGTGTAGGTTAACGGGGTCAAAATGTGGTAGTAACAGTAAAGAATACGTAGATATCTTTGTTTCAAGAAAAAAGGGTTTAACGGGTCAGCAAAATTTCCAGACTTGATGGGAAATTGTCGGATTTAATTCCAGAGATCAATGACCGCAACAACAAATACTCAATACCGAGTGCATCTCAACTTACCTTCATTTCTAGGTTAGGTCCATTCTCCATAGCCCGCATAATGGTTTCGGACAACTTTATATCCAGCTGCTTGATTGTTGTTACAATGCCACTGTCCGATCGTATGTGCGTCGTCACTAAATTTTGTATAGCATCCACCACATTCGACCAAGGGCTATCCAATACGCCAGCGTATTGAGCCGAGCAGCCACTGTAAAGAGGAAGAGAGAGACAATAATAGTAATACATAAAAAAAAAATCCTTGAAAATTTCAATCATTTCGCGCTTCCGCCAATCCAATCCAAAATGCTCGCACTCACCGCAGCACATTCATGCAGTAGCTGTAGCACGCTTTCACTTGTGTCTTCTGATATCCATTACAGCTCGGACAGTAGCTCATCTTGAGCAAATGCTTCTGACAGTTGTCGGTCAGATACATGGCATACAATTCATCAGTCTCAGCTAAGCACTTCAGCGCTCTGTTGCAGTGAATTCAAGAAGATGCTCGCCGTTTGTACGCTTTGAAGCAAATTGCGTTTGATCTCCTTGGGTATGCTGCCGAATGGTTGCAGATCGTCGAATGTGTGCTTCAAGCAATTGATATAATCCTCATGTAATTCGCCATAATTATCCTTGCTCAAGTGCACCGCCTGATGATAGGCTACCGGAAAGAGATTCACAAAGAATTTCTGTATGGCATCTTCTAGATTGCTCAGGTTGTTGCCGCTGCTGCTGCTGCTGCTGCGCTGCCGGTGTTGATACCATTACTATTCGCATTCCTCAAGTGGCTGTAAGTAAGAGCAAAAGAAAACGTGGGGAAAAGCATTAAATGAACGATTTGATAAGAAAAGCAGATGGAATGAGTCAAAGTGGATTGGACTGGAAGTTTTATGTTGTTGACTTACTTCATGATCTCCGAATAGAGCTGACGTATCAATTCGCTGGACTGAGGCACCATGCGTCGGTATACTTGGGAAAATACCGCCAAGGTCTTATTCTCAGACTGCTCTGCTAGTTCAAGGACATGACCTGGAAAAGAAAAAATTAAATTGAATTATAAGTCTAGACAATCTTGGTTTCGTATGTTGAAACTGATATCAAGTAAATAGGTACTAAAAGAAAACTTGAGAAGCTTAATAATTTTATAAATCGCAAGAGTTCGATAGCGACATTCTTGTACAATCTGGGGATTTGGCCCCCCAAAAGTTAATACTATGGGTTGATTTTACTCGCGCCAATAAAATATACATATCTATGTATATTGAACTAATGGAGAATTCCAGATATTTGGAAAAGTGCATGTATTTTCCAAGAAAAGGAAAAATATTACTCTGGAACGGGGCGGCTGAAAAATCTAGGATAGGGTGATCATCTAAAGATCTTATGAGTTGGATACCAGAGTAGTTTTGAAAGCACTGGGCTAGGTGAGATTATCGTGGCTGCCTTATTCAACGTTGGACGGGNAGATCTTATGAGTTGGATACCAGAGTAGTTTTGAAAGCACTGGGCTAGGTGAGATTATCGTGGCTGCCTTATTCAACGTTGGACGGGGGTGCGCTTAAGCCCATTCTGATACCGTACTCCAGACAGGCAGGTACTTGCCATAGTAATGCTCTACACTCTCGACTTCCTCCATTACATGACGAAGCAATGATCCCGTCAGCCGAAAGATTGGGCCCTCATTGCATTCACTGCCAGGGGAGAAAAAAAGACACTGAGAAGTCGGGCTAGCTAAGGTTTACAGGAAGATCTTCCTTAATACTGGATCACCACTTAATTTTATCAACCAGTTTAATCTAACTGCATTAAAACTTGCCTGTAGTCTCCCATACAGCCTACGGGTAAAAATGGAAAGCTTAGAAGGGTTTTTTAAGCTGCCTTTACACGGGTCGATTTCTGTCGACTGAAAAATCGACCTACAAATCGATCAGTCAACATACTAACATTTTACGGTTGAATTGCCATTTACACTGATCGATTTTGGTTGAACGATAAAAATCGACTCGGAAATCGATCCTTGTACAGGCAGCTCCAGGTATTGTTTCTGTTCGATGCCAGAGCAAGTTTTCTCATCGAAGCGCGTTGGATATCAAACTACGGATATGACATCACCGGAAATGAAATTTTTAACAACTTTGCCAATCACGCTGTTAATTGGGAACTATAGTCAACTGTCATGAAATGTCAGCGGCAT